GAACGTCCAGGCGCTGTTCCTCTCGAACAGTCGGAAGAGCAGCTCCTCCAGCTCGTCCTTTTCTAGCGGGGCCGCTTCATGTTGTCAGCCTTGGCGGCCGCCACAGTCGCCTGGCGGTGGGGGCCAGGGGGGGGGGGTGCGGGGGGAGAGGATTGGGGGGTTTTGGGGGCTGGGGTGGGGGATAGGGATAGGGATACGAGTAGGGAGGAAGAGGCCGCCACTCGCCAGGACGCAACCCCCCTGCTCGGGCTCTACCAGCGCCGCTGCGCTGCCTCTCACCCCCCGGGCTCCCCCGCCGCCGCCAGCCGTTACCGCAGCCGCCCTCACCTTCCTCCTAGCCGAGATGTCCTGCTCCACGCGCTTCTGCTGCGCCAGGTCCGCCAGCACGTTGTCCACGGAGTCCTCGTAGTAGCCCACCACACGGACCTGCCCGCGTGCGTGTGTGTATGTGTGTGTGTGTGTGAGAGAGAGAGAGAGAGAGAGAGGAGGGGGAGAACTGGCCTGCCAGGAAAACAAGAAGCGTCGTACCGTGTGTTTTTCCACGGCCCCCTCCCCACCTCCCCTTCCCTTTCGCCGCAGCCTTCTTCGCGTCGATTGACATGACGGGCTGGTGTCGTACACGCACCTTCTCAGCTGCCTGCTCTGTACGAGAGCGTACGAGCTTGAGATACTCAGAATCCAACACCCATTCGCCCTGTACGACAGTGCAGTGCAGAGGGAGGGGGGGACAGGGGATACAAACATTTCTGTGCCATTACAATTCATACATACATACATACATACATACACAGCAAGAGAGGGACCGACAGATGAGCGCGGAGTTGTACATTAACAACACAGGATCTTCTCATCTTACCATTACAAACTTATGCCCCTCTCACATTCCCATATTCCCAATCACGCCTCATGTACGGAAGTAAACCGGTGTACAATGAAGCATGTACGGCGGCGTCTTTTGGACAGTTGTGACTTGTCGTACGATACGGCTCCCACCGAAGACTCACCCTTTCATCCTGGACCATGGGCACCATGTCCATACGCTGTTGAATGGTACCCTCCACACCTGCGTATGTATGTCAGTATGTATGTCTGTATGTGAAGAGCAATACTTTAGGCCCCTAAGAGGTTTCATGAAGTCGTGCACCATGCAAGGGAAGAGCCTACCCACCGCATTCCCCCCCTTCACCGCCCCAACCTGCGTCCGAGTTTGGTCTGGAGATTGCCCTTCCTACGTCAGCCCCCCCCGCTTCTCCCCCCCATTGTCGTACGAGATCCCGTCGCCCTGCCCTTCTTCACCTTAACTCAGGTACTCACGTGGCAGGCTTATATCACGGCCTGCCTGGCTACTGCCGCTGCTACCTCCTCCACCCCCTCCGGTAGCTGCAGCGCCACCACCACCCTGGGAGAACCCCCCTTGCGGTACGCTCGTCCCACCGGTCGGGATCTCGTACGACATGACATGCATCTTGCTGCTGTTTCCCGGGGGAAGGGGCATCTGCTGCAACTTGAAGCGGCGCGGGATGCCCTCCGCCAACATGGCCTCTGGTTAGGGGGGTTAGTGCGATGTGTATGCGTATAGGGGAGGAGGTAGTTAGTTGGTGAAAGTTGTTGTGGTGGTTGGTACGTGCCTGGGGGCCCATCAACCAATGAGGCACCAATCACCATCGAGGAGAGGGAGGGGGGAGAGCACCGAGCCAGATCCCCCCCTCTCCCCTCCTCTCCCCCCTCTTTCTCCCCTCCCTCCCCCCAACCCCGGGAGAAATGCGGGTTTGACAGGGCCAGGCAGAGGGCCGCAAGCAATCCCAGACGCAGTCCCGACTGCCGTACCCCCCACGAGTGGGAGTGCAGACCGGGGGGGAATGAGGAGAGGGGGCCGGGGGGAAATGCGGGTTTGTGTGCGTGCGTGTCAGAAGGGGGAGGAGTGGTGGTGGGTTTTGGGCGTGCCGTACTCGTTCAGTACTAAGATGCATCACTGACCGGGTAGTTCAAGAAAGGAAACATTGCCGTCCTGGTGTCGCAACAGTAGTAGCAATAGCAGCAGCAATAACAGCGTAGCAGCAGTAGCAGCGTAACAGCAATAGCAGTAGCAGCAGCAATAGCAGCAGTAGCGCCCGCCCCAATCCCCCCCGACACAACCACCGTCATCAAGGCCACCAACGCCCCGTGGCAGTACATCGGTGGAAAGGAACGGCGCCCCCGAGCATGTCATGCACGGCAGCATGTCGTACATGTCCGTACCACCAGCGTATTCGAGGAGAGCGCATACACACAGCAGGACCAAGAGGAAGGGGGGAAGGGGGCAGGGACGGCGGGACAAGTGCAAAAGGTGGGTGCTCTGCTAGGTACGAAGAACATCCCTCCCTCCACGACATGTGCGTCATGTCCCCGTAGCTGTCCCCTAGCTGCCAGGACAAGGATTTTATGGTTCCAGCAGAGGCGGCAAAGCCCTGGCAGCGTTTTGACTTGGCACGTGTTCTTCCGAAGTTCTCCTAGCGTCCTGGTTTTCGCCTAAGTCCCGTCGGAGACGCTTGCGTGTGGAGCGTGTGGAGCGTGTGTGTGTGTATGCTGTCGTACCTGCGCCGTGGGCTCCGTCACGATGCGCCCCAGCAGGGAGGGGCCCTCCGTTGAGTCGTCCACCTGGCCTGCCATGGACTGCTCACAAGCCGCCTTCCAGACGCTGGCCAACGCGTAAGGTACCTGATGGTCATGCCGTGATATGATAGGCCATATACATTAAATGAAGTTGGTATGGATCGTTGGAGTTTTATTTTGAGGGAGGTTGGAGGAAGGGGGAGAAAGGGGAGCGGGAAGTGGAGGAAATTGCTGGCGACTGGGTGAAAGCGCGAGGAGTAACTTAGCACGAAGAGAGTGCTCTCTCCGCGACCATACCTTGACGATCCATGCTGCATTGTCCGCGTTTCGAGTATCCAGAGCCATGGGTGTTCACAAGTCGGGCTGGACTTGTGTGGCAGGCAATTTACGGAAGATTCCGCTAGATCGAGTGAGCAGATAACGAGCCTCCCTAATTTGCTATTATTTTATATGCATTTGTGTACACGTAATACGAGCTAGCGTTCTGATCGATTGCGTTTGAATTCTAGAGTTCGGCAATGCGCACAGCAGCGGACAGTCCCTAGGAGGGGCTTATTTCGACGATGTCAGTCAAGCTGTATTAGGATACCGCAACAAGACAAGATCAACATGCACATGTCGCACCACCGTACCTTTATCAGCTTATCTGTTAACAAACAAATCAATTGTCCAGGTAACCTTTCCTATAAAAACGCGCAATATTAAAGCCAATCCCACTTATGCATAACAGGCAATCCGAGCTTTGTTGAGGCACTAACAGTAACCCAACGGGAGTCGGTTGACCAGGGGTAGTACAAACCGCTAGGTAGCTCGGGCAAGGCGATCGGCTGATGAACTTCATCGCCAAGGCTCTCATTACCATGCGTTATACATACCGCTGATGCTTAATTTCAATGAATGTGCTCACGCTTTCCAGGACACTTTCGTGCCTCCACAGCAATGGTCCTTCACGTTGGGCTAGCGTTCAAATGTAAAATATTTGTAAGCATCTTAAATTATATCATATGATAAACGATTCCGCTCCAGCGGTCGACTCGCTGTCCCTTGGCTGCAGCATCCGTCGTCAACGCAAGCTTGCATTGCGAGCGAAGTCACACTGGCGCGACGGCCTCAGCTGAGTTTTGATTTATATATGTTGTATTAATACCGGCTGATTGCCGTGGGCGGTGGGCTGTTGCTTTAGCACCTCCGCTTTCATATCTTTTTTTCACGTTCTTTAGTTTCTCGGTGAGGAAGAAGTAATCCAGATCCCTAAAACTTTTCAGCGGCAATGGAAATCAATCTGACCCACATGGGGGCTGTATCGGTCTCGGATGTACATGTCCTGCGGTCTTCGGAGCGCACTGCTGATGTCAACGGCGAGCCCGCGACCCGAGCCACCCAACTGGGCTGCTACAGCGAATGTGTGGAAACACTCGCAACGCCGCCACTTCTACTAACTCACCGACCAATTGCGGCTTCGGAGCCGGTCAACTCCTCACTGGTGTTGCGGCACTGCGCAACGGCACAGCATGGGAACCGCAATCACCAGTCGGCGGCTTCTACCACCGCCACCACCACCACCGCCCCTCAGATAGCCCCTCAGCCCGCCAGCATCGCCGCATTGCCCTTCTCCTCCTCCGTCGCCGCCGCCACCTCCTCCCCTTCCTCCCGCCACCATCGCGACCGGCACTTCGATCTGCGGTGCATTGTTTTGACCTGTAGCAACTGCTGCTGCTGCTGCTGCTGCTGTAGCAGTAGGGGATGTAGCAGCGGAGGCGCATGCAGCAGTAGCAGCACCACAGAGCAAGTCAGCGGCGACAGTGCCAGGCCTGAGGACTGGGGCAGCAGCAGCGGCAGCAGCAGCGCCCTGTATACCAATGGCCGCCGCTGCAGCAACCTGTGCACCTACTGTGTGTCTGTCTGTACATCCTCCCAAATGGTCCCATCTGCTACAGCCGCTACCACCAGTTCCTTGAAATGTCGGAGGCTACAACAGCCACAATGTTGTGGGTGGCGCCCCCTGCACCCTCGACCTCACCTCCGCACCTACATCCTCCTCCTCCTTGCCCTCCTCCTCACACAAGCCCCAGTACGTACCCCTGCCGTACGCACCCCCGCTCACATTGCTGAGGCCCTCGGCAACGCAACCCTGCGGGCCTTATATCCCAACCATTCCTGGAACCTCCCTGTCGTACCCTCTGACACGCCACGTGGGCCCACGCGCGTGGAGCAGCCGCACGTGCCGTTTATTGCCGTACAAACTGACGAAGATCAAGTGCAGCTGTATGATGAGAATTTGGAGAGGGATCTCGCGCCCTGGCGGCGGCGCAACCGATCAGAGATGACGGTGTCGGCCCTCCTGCAGTGGGCGGCCAGGTTGCCGAACTTGGCGTCTCAGCGCGTGGTGATGATCAAGGGGGGCCGACTGGCACTGCTGCAGCAGGTCCGGGTGCACACACACCGATATAATACAATCGGAAGTTCCGGGATTGAAACCAGTCAATCGGATCGAAAATTTTCCGATGGAAGAAGGCATGAGTGCCCCTAGTCGATGGACAGTGGAAACCTGGGATAAAATAGACCACCCTGATCCATCATGTATGATATTTTGCACATAGAATGATGGTGATGGTAATGGTGATGGTGACCGCGTCATGATGGTCGAGTGTGTCGTATTAACGACAAGGCGACAGACAGACAGCAGTGTCCAGCACTCACGAGGGGGGTTGTATGTATGCGTGTATGTATATGTGTAGGTGTAGGTGCGTGTATGTATGTCTGTGCATTTGTGTATGTGTGTTTGCATGTGTTACAAGGTGACATCATTACGCGGTCCGTGTACTGCACTGAAATCCCCCCTACTCCCCTCCCCGCTGGTACCCGCGGGGCACTATACCGATGACTGGGGGTTTTATCGCAGAAGAACGGTCGTTTGCTTAGCTGCGAGAGGCCGTGCGACGTCGTACTGGACGAGCTACTAAAAGGTGAGGGTAAAGTACGACATGGGATAATGATTGGGACGATGATGATGATGATGATGATGATGATGATGATGAGGGGGAGGAGGAGGAGGACAAAGAGAACGGTATCATCGACGGGTATCACCGGTGAATTCCACCGGGGTTTGTCTCCCGGCCCCCTCCCCTCCCCTCTTTCCCCTCCCCCCCCCCCGGTCCCCCCCCGAGGGCAGATCTGCGCTCCTGGATTTCCACATCCCCCTCGGACTGGCCCGATGTGGTCTTCTTCCTCAACGCCGCCGACACCAGCCTCTGCCAACAACAGCATCCAGAACGTCATGATCAGGAAGGAACGCAACAGCAGCAGCAGCAGCAGGAGGAGGAGGAACTGGCCCCTGTTGGCGGTGACGGTGATGGCGGTGCTACCGCTGCCACCGATGATTGGAGTAGCAGCAGCAGTAGCAACAGCAGCGGTAGGAGCAGCGGAGAGGGCGAGGGGAGAGGACACGGACTGGTTAGTGAAGGGGGGCGCTCGCGGCGGCGGCGGCAGCGGCGGCAGCGCAGCAAGGCGGCCATCGGGCGATGTCCGGTGCCAGTGCTGTCGGTGATTAAGGAGTGGGACCGGCACAAGTGAGGGGGGAAGGGGGGAGGGGGAAAATGCGCATGGGGCCTTTGTGTGTATGTGCGTCTGAACGTATGTATGTATGTGTGTGTGCGTTTAATGGCAGCCATCCTTGTCCCCGCGTGGACGTATCTGTGTATGTATATGTGTATGCGGCTGTATTATTAATGTGTGTGTATTAGGAGGGGGGAAGGCCCCGTGTACAGAAGGGCGTTTGCGTGCGTCTGTGCGTATGTTTGTATGTAATCTAGGTGTTTGTGCATCTGCCTTTTGTCCTTAAGTGCCGTGTGCGACGGCCGACGGGGGCATAACCCTAACACCCCACCTAACACCCCACCTTCCGTACAGGAGAGAGAACGGCAGAACCCCCTCACCCGCACCCGCACCCGCACCCTAGCCTGTACACCGCCGCCTTCCCTTTCCGGTGCTGCTGACATCCAAACTCGGTGCCCTGTCCCTCGTAACCGTGTGAAACCCTAACCCTCCCACACAGTCAGTAAATATTCCTGATGCAGCATTTGTCTTCTCCTGGGCGATCCGTCTATCTCTCGTATCTGCTTCTTCGCCAGTGGTTCGTCTTACCCCCTTCTCCCCCTTTCTCCCCCCTTCTCCCCCCTTCTCCCCCCTTCTCCCCCCTTCTCCCCCCTTCTCCCCCCTTCTCCCCCTTTCTCCCCCCTTCTCCCCCCTTCTCCCCCCCTCCATACACATCCCTCCATTACTATCACCGCCTCCTGTGGCCTTCTTTAGCGCATTGCCACACAATTATTCCCCCGCTTAAATCCTAGCTTGCCGTTGAATGTCATCTTGCCGTTCATGATGTCGTACAGGGATGAGGATATTCTTGTCCCAGTCACGGTGGGTATGCACGGCTGGGCGCCGCTTCACTACTTCCCGTGGGACCGCAAGATTGAGCGTGCCGTGTTTCGGGGCCGTGAGTACTGCCACACGCGGGTTTATCCGTACGCGCCGGGAGTGTGCAGCCGTACTTACATGGCGTTCATGACACAGGTGTGTTTCTTCGTATGTATGTATGTATGTATGTATGTATGTATGTATGTATGTATGTATGTATGTATGTATGTATGTATGTATGTATGTATGTATGTATGTATGTATGTATGTATGTATGTATGTATGTATGTATGTATGTATGTATGTATGACGTTGATTACACTGTGGGCTGAAAAGCCCGGGGCCCAGGGCCGAAGCACAGCGCGGGGGGCGGGTGCATACGGCTGGTTAGTCTCATGCACTCCGCCCCCGGGTCAGGCCGCACGGGAAACGACGGCCGGCACGCAACAGCGCTTGTTTGGCGCTCCAACTAGACGGGATCTATGCCCGTTGGTCTCCTAACATAAACGAAGTCGCAACTGGGGGGCTCTTCCTGCCGACCGAACGAACCGAGCATCTCAGAGAGCTCGCAACCAGGACCTGGGCGACCGGGAGCCCGACGCGTCATCCCGGGCTGGGGAGGTCACCAAGCTCAAAAATCCTCATGCAAAAAAAGAGCGCAAAGAGCTCACACCACAAGACGCCAAACAGCCTCCTGAGACTACTACCCTCCTCCGCCTCTCCCTCCCTGGGCTAGTCCAGGGGAGATAGCCCCCGTCGGGGGGGTAACAGCGCACAAGTCCGCGCCCTTCCACAGCACTGGGTCTAACTTGAAAAGTACTCAAACGGGAAGACCCTGCGGCAACGCAGGGCGATCAAGCCTCCGGAAACCACAGGGGGGGAGGGTAGCCAGCTCGGCGCCCCCCCAATACCGCTCTACCAAGACGTATGTATGTATGTATGTATGTATGTATGTATGTATGTATGTATGTATGTATGTATGTATGTATGTATGTATGTATGTATGTATGTATGTATGTATGTATGTATGTATGTATGTATGTATGTATGTATGTATGTATGTATGTATGTATGTATGTATGTATGTATGACGTTGATTACACTGTGGGCTGAAAAGCCGGGGGCCCAGGGCCTAAGCACAGCGCGGGGGGCGGGTGCATACGGCTGGTTAGTCTCATGCACTCCGCCCCCGGGTCAGGCCGCACGGGAAACGACGGCCGGCACGCAACAGCGCTTGTTTGGCGCTCCAACTAGACGGGATCTATGCCCGTTGGTCTCCTAACATAAACGAAGTCGCAACTGGGGGGCTCTTCCTGCCGACCGAACGAACCGAGCATCTCAGAGAGCTCGCAACCAGGACCTGGGCGACCGGGAGCCCGACGCGTCATCCCGGGCT